CACCAAGCACCTCCAGCAACTGCCTTGTCTAAACAGAGCCCTCACAAAGAAAGCTCGCTGCTCTCCAGAGCTTAGTTATATTAAGCTGTCTGTGCAGTATCTCAGCACCTTAAACCACAGCTATTTCCTTTTCCCATGCCCAGGTTGCTGGGAAAATGATTTGCTGGTCCCAGTCATCTTTTCTTCTTTTCTGCGAAGAGGCAGCATGTCTTGTATCCCAGAGAGCCTTAGTCCAGCACACACGCCCATCTGGGCAGCAGAGTTGCCTGGGTAGATGCCGGTTAGACTTGTGTCCCGTACTTGCACAGCTGTGACTTTCTCAGTGGCAGCAGCAGGGCCCTCCTCACATGCTGCCTGGAGTCAGAGGCAGGTGGCTGCAGAGCAGCAAGCCATCCATCCTGCCAGCGAGGGGCAGGGGCACAACCCCTTTCCACTCCCTGCTAAATAAACAGGAATTCTTGTGATACTCCAGCCTTAGGAAAACAAAGCTGTTTCCATTTAGCTTGGCTTCTGGGCTGAGGTGCAGCTCCGCCCGCACAATGATCCATCAGGGCTTTGCTTCTCTGGGAGGAGATTCAGGCTGAGATCAAGAAGAGGGAGGATTTGCAGCTAGTCTGTGCTGGGAGGGCCTCTAACACCCCTAGGATTTCACTCTCCAGAGCGCTGCCTATTCCAAACAGCACAGCACCAGGGCCTCCCAGCTTCAGCAGCAGCTAACACATCCCCACAGGCTCCCTCAGACTGCCAGCTCTAAATCTCCACTGAGCCATGACCTGCTAAAGGGACTTGGGAAATGGTACTTATTTCTCAGACTGTTTTTTAGGAATGAAAGTTTGAGCATCTCCAGCTACAGAGTCAGCAAAGTAATCCCAGAGCTACTTTTCTTCTAGCCTTGTCTCCCCCTGTGCAAGTGCTGAGGCTGGAGAAGGCTGGGCATGTGTTCCTCTTTAGCCTCAGAAAGAAGACATAATATGCACAGGATGGGGAGCAAAGGAAATGGTGATTCTTCCCTGGTAACCTCTCCATCCAGAGATGCAGATGGTTATGTGTAACAGTGCAGTACTAACATCTGTGCTCAGGAAAACCCTCAGGCTAATATTCAAGTCCCCATCTTCCCAGGGCTGCCAGTGTGCTTAGAGATGGATATATGACTGCTGCACTCGGAAGACCCACAGATCCTTTTGTTAACCCTAAACATCTGCCAGTTGCAAATACAAACCCATTGTGTGACACATATAACCAGTCCAAGTCTGGTGGTCAAGGAGCTGCTATTTCTCACTGAGACAGAGGGCGGGAGACTTGACAGTAACTTACTTTCTGCTGTGATAGTCACACTTCCTAGGCTGAGATACAGTGCAGGGACAGAGCTGGGCACTCCCAACTCAGGTGCCCAGGACAGTAAATACGGGCTGATAAGATGAGAGGAGGAGGCACCACACTGAATCCCATGGACTCTGCTAGGCAGGCAGTCTTATCAGTTTTTCTAAGCATCTCCGTAGCAGTCTGAAAGGTAAATCACCAGCAGTCCAGCTAGCTGAGGCTAAGAAATTGTTTTAAACCAGCCTTGCCTCTTAAGGAAATGGGCAATATTTTGGTCCAGATAGTTTCCGAATAACCCAAGAGGCTGTTCTCCTACCACTGTCTGAACACTTGCTTCAAAACACGTTGAAACCAAAATCAGTCCCATCCCTGCTTAGAGAGCAGGTCTCTGAGGAGGATACATATTTTTGTTGTGTGTTTGTACAGCATCTAATACAGCACTGTTCTAGTCCATGGCTTCAGAGCTTCTAATTGCTACCTCAGTACAAATAAACATGAATAAAGCCAATATATATGCAAATAATTAAAAAGAGAATACAAATCTCAGTTGTGTGTGGATTGGTTTGCTTTCTTGGCACAGCAAGATGTGGCTTAGAAGTCTATAAGCTCCCACTCTTGCACAATTCCTCCTTGCCGCCAATGCAAATGTACAGGAGGTTGGGGACTGATCGTGTGTTGTGGACCACAAAGTCATCTCACAACAGCTCTGACCTGGAACCACGAGTGGCCTTCTTTTCCTGACCCACCCAAGAGCTTCTTCTACCATTTCCTCCTCAACAAACTGGACAAGCAAGCCAGCTGCTGCAGGATCAGGGCAGGCTTACTGGAAAGAGTCAGTGTCCCAAAAGCACAACTTATCCAGGAGGACAGCAAGGACTGGAAAATCCATCTGAGCCGTTCCTCTCAGACTTCAGAGTGATCAGAAAGCCAGTGAAGTTGAGCTCAGGTATGCACAGTCTAAGAACTGATCCTTGTAGCTGCAAATCTGCATTAAGATCTGCCTAGTTCTGGGAAGGCCAATATGCATGTTCGTTGTGCTGCTACAGCTCAGTCCCAGTATGGAGAAGGTCTGATGCAGAAGCACAGAAAGTACTTTAGTGATAGCACAGAGTGGTTGTGATATTGTGACTGCAGGAACCAGGCTCCAAATTCAGACGAGTCTGAGAGTAAGTTTTTATGAAACGAGTGACCAATCTAATAACTGAGCGCCCCCAAAAGCAGAGTCCACCCCTTCTCTTTCCCCCGCTCCTAGCCTTGCAATTCTGCCCAGCCTGCTTTGGGAACTGTCACCCTCTTACCTTGCTCCACAGCTAGGCCAGAAGTTGGCTGACTGAAGGGGAGATTCAAAAATATTTGTGAAACAATTCATCTAAAAGCAGCAAAACTTTTAAGTCATGCCAGACTGTGCCATGTGGTACAGGAGCTGAGCTGTACATGGAAATCTGCACTGGCTGAAGTGAGGCCTTTCAAAACGTAGACAGGTGCCTGGGTGGAGGCAGCTCCCCACCTGCCTGCGGAACACCACTACGCAGGTCACCTCATATCACCTGAGAAGGAAACACACCAGTCTGCAAGCAGAGCCTCCCAGAGAAGCCATAAGAGCTCCCTCTTGGAGACATTTGCAGTGACCTACGCAAAGCCCTGAGGAATGTGCTAGAAGGCAATCGGTATTGGCTGAGGCCTGGGATCCTACCTGCAGTGACTGGAAGAGACAAATGTCAATGCTCTCACTGAAGTGTGGGATAAGGCAATGTCCCATGGCTTCCATGGGGTATGAACAAGGAAAGGCATGACATGGTCCTCAATGGAGTCCTATTTATTTGGGACAGTGCCAAAGGATTTAAGGTATAGAAGGCAGCTGGGCATTCAGCAATCCAGGCTCAGCAGCCACTAGACACTGTGTCTGACTGTCTGGACAGTAATATTCTGTCAATGCCTGCACAGTCCTGTGCCCTCTGTGCGGAGCCTGAGGTCATGTTCCTTACTGGGAAAGCCTTAAACAGGTGGCGTATCTCCAAGGGCACTGCTCTTTCTCCACTCCAGTCCTTGCACACAGAGTGGTGATTTGGAGGGGTAGGAGGAGGTCATTACTGTGCGGAAACTTGTGAGTAATGACCAGGATTGCAGGCATGTGCTAAGGCTGTGTGCTACTTGTGAGCCAAGCCTCTCTCAGGGCAGCAGTGATGTTGGCTTGGCAATCACCTTTGTTTTGCCTGAATTTGGTTCCCATCAGATAGTCTTTCACTTGGGCACCAAGATATGCTGGCTTCAGTGAACCATTTCATGTCAGTAAATTCCTTTTCAGCCATCTGAGCCCCTCCATAATTGTAGATGCCTGAAAGTAAGTGTCTAGAGATGTCTCCAGCCCATACACTGCCTCTGCTCCAAAGAGACTGAAATGCAACAGCTACAGACACTTTAAAAGTAACCTGTAGAAACACAGAAAAACAAAAGCCAAATTGTCCATTCCCCAGGCAGCTCTGATTAGCACTGACTTCCACTGGAAGGCACATTTAAATTTTCTGCTGTGGTGGCCACCAGCAAAATGAATCTTTCTGATCTAGCAATTGGATGAGTAGCAGCAAGAAATACACAGGCCTTTACAGGTGGTGCAGAGTCTACCGTTTTGCTCCCATGTCCATGGCTTCTTACAGAAAAGCAGAGGTGGGGGTTTTTTTTTGAAAAGTGTGCAGGTTGTTCTGTTCCAGGAGACACCATTCCCAACCTCTCCATCCCTGTCAAGCTGCCAGAATAACAGAGATACTAGTCAGGGAAGGGCACCTTTCATAGTTACTGCCTCCTCAAGCCGAAAAAAACACAGCTCCAGCAAGACTTCACGAAACACAAAACGTAAAGGAGTTGCAGCTCAGGTATAAGCACCTCAGAGCTGGCTTGAGGTAGCCAGGTTGAAACCGGTAAGTTCTTTTTGACACACAAGAAACAAAGGCAATGCCACAGTTGTCACCCTAAGCTGAAAATGGCCTCTAGAAGAGTTTTTCCTTCACAGACCACCCCGAACTCCAACAGCTGCATCTTTGCTTCAGTACCAAATATGCAGGCACCTAACTGGGTACAAAAATGACCCACACAACAGTAGGTGACACAAGGTTATATAACAACTAGCTCAATGATTGCTAGGGTTTCTGAGGATACTCACCTCAGACATGCTACGTGTATCATCACTTTCAGTTATATTGACATAGAATAGCCAGACCTGTGTACCTTCCTGTGGGTACTGCCTGGACATACTTCCCTAAACACATCCTCTTCTGAAAGAAAGTAAAACCCCACCCCTCAGTCCACTCTGCTGCTACCTCTAAAGCTGCTCAAAGGCTGGACAAGGGCAAACTGCTGAGCTACCCAGCACTCATTCACTGTGGGACTTATCCTCTCCCATTCCAGTTTGTGCCTGGGGATCATGACACAGTGCTGGAGACAAACCTAGTCCCTTGGAGAGACAGCAGGGCCTGACACCCTTATGTCAGCCCTGGGGAAGACCCACGACCTGGAATCAAGGTATCCTGTGTCACAGAGCAGAGCAGCAATCTCTGGGCAGCGGTGAGACTAACAGCACGGGAGCTTGGGGCTGGAGCTGGGAGCTGACTATGGCCCAACAGAGCACATCATTAGCTGCATGTCTATTTGTATGAGCTCCCTATCAGGAGTTGGGGTTGACTTACACAGCTGGCGAGTGCCGTGGAACGGGTGCCTGAGCCACTCTCGGGGAAGCTTCTCTCTCCGCAGTGCTGGTTCTCCTCCGAAAGGAGCTTGCAGGGGGCTGGAAGATGGCAGCACCAGGAGGATGGTATTCTTGCTCGGGAACAACTTCTTCACACCTGGAGCCCTGGAAGCCCGAGCGACAGGTACAGACCTGGGGCCGACTGCAGGAGCCCTTGTTCTGGCATGGAGGGTCACACACAGCTGAGGAGACACAGAAAGGCAGTTAGCAGGACGCATGACTCGTCGAGCAGTGTGCTCAGTGCTAATCAGTGCACCCTCTTTTACACCATGGTGGTACACAGCGTGGGGTAGCACAACCAGGGAGGCCCCATCTCCTCTCTGCTTTCTGCTCCTGCAAGCAGGTAGATCTCTCCTCCTCATGAGAAGCATTAGGACATACATTTCACACATGCTCGTTCCTGCCCTGGCCTGGAATCAGGGCCCAGGAGCAAAAGGGTCGGTATTATTACTACTGTGAATCTCTAATGCAGGATCACTGCCACTAAAGACAAAGACCCAGGCCTTGTTTCTGTTCCCACACTTCTTCCCCATTGATCTAGCAGAGCACTTCTCAAGCTATATTTGGTTAAGAAAGATCAAAACCGGCCAGCAGGGTTTGCCTAGGAGAGCCTATGGTATCCAGTTTGTCCTGTAGAGCTGCAGGCAGGAACAGGGACTCAAATCCAAACCGGAGGCAGCAACGGCACAAGGAGAAGCAAGAAGACGCAGATAAGGCAAGTAACAATGCACTAATGAAGCCTCTTGGGAGCAGTTCACATGTTATGGTATTGTTTTATTGTGTTTCAGCATTTGATTTGCACAGTGCCCCTGTCCTGTTCCCTCAGCAACATTCCAGCTCTCCTTGCACCAGCTAATTTTGGAGTCACCATGCTCAAATTCTTCTGCAGCTACAAGGGCTTACAGTTCATTAACTTCATGCCCAAATCGCTCTCCAAGCCTGTGTGTGTTCCTAATTACAGCACATCAGCTTCAGTTTGCGCCCCAGGAAGAAAGTGCTGTTAACTATATGCTGTACCTTAACACTTCCCAAGTTAACAGATGCCAAATCTGGTTTATAATCCAGTCAGCAAAAGCCAGGAAACCACAGTTTGCCCAGGTAGTACCAGGCTAGTTGTTCTCAGCAAGCTTAACTAAAAGTGTCTTCCTTCAGAGAAGGAAAGGGCTGGTTAGCCAAAGAGCAATGAAACCCCACTGGCCAATGTAAGACAAACATTAATCTTCAGCCACATGAAAACATTGTGAAAGGCTTGAAATGCGCAATGACCACTTCAGCTCAGGGCTTATTAACCAGAACTCCCCCAGGGAGGTAGCAGGAGCAGTCTGACATCCCAACTACCTTCACACACAGCTACTTGGTTTTCATGAACCCATCATTCCCTCTCTGACTATGCTCTCACACAGCATCCATCACTGTGAGATCTAAGCACTCCTGCAAGATAGGTTGAGTCCGGAAAACAAACATATTTAGAGCTGTAACCCCATGTGCCATTCATACATCAGGCCCACCATACATCATGCAGCTGTTGCCAAGCGAGAGAAGTCTTGCACTGGCTCTGAGCCCCTCTCACAGCAGTAGAGGAAGACGCCTCAACAACCCTTCCTTCACCCCAAAACTGGTCTCTCATCAACTTTTCCTAACTAGATCAGGGATGTGTTGGCTGGAATACTTAATCTGACCTTTGTTACTGTGTTAATGCTCAGGAAGGAGGCAGACCTCAGGCAAAGGGAGAACCCAGATCACGTAGGGCTGCATAGGTTGAAGCCAGAGCTTTTGATGAAATCCCTCAGTAAAATAAATCAGACACCACTGTAGACTCTGGAACAGAGACAGGGCCCTAGTCAGGCAGGAATTAACCGCGTCTGGGAAGTTCGGCACTCCAAAATTTGATGTCATTTATAATAATTCAGCTGTGATTTAAACAGGCTCCCAGTCCATACCATTATCTCCCAGTAAATGCCTGATTTAGTAAACTCCATCATACCAGGAAGCCTGCCATTCCAAACAACCATTTCATGTGCTGAAATATTGCAGAGCAGGGAATTGCAGTAACAGAGACTCCAGGACCCGAGATCACAACATTCCTCACAACGTCTCCCACAAACAACGTTAATATTCAGGTTAGGTGTAGATTATGCCCTTCAGCAG